ATGCAGTTTAGTAAATCACTGAAAATTTCTTCTCCATCATGACTGAGACTTTGTATTCTTGGGTGAAAATCCTCCTTTTCCTATCCCTCATGGAATTGATCATTTTTTAAAATCAAAGTGCCCAAGCTACATTAACCTTCATTTTAAAAGTTCTTTTTTATTTTGAGCCATGGTCTCCATATGTAACTATATTGCTGAGACACCATTCTTACACATCTATGTGTGTATGCACATTGATGTTAGAGATATTTCATTTTCAAAATGGATATCCTCCATACACACATCCTTCTCACATCCATGTATTAATTCACAATCAGATTCCTTGGCCTCTTTCCCTGTGGGCTCAGGGAGACCCACAGCATGCCCACATCTTTCCCTGGTTCCCGTGCCCCACATTGATGCCCCGCACCCTCTACATGGAGCGGGGGGTCCAGTTCCCTCCTGCTTCAAACAGTGCTGTGAACAGTCTTGAAGCCTCAAAAAGTGGTACAGCTCTCTGTGTGGGAGAAACCTCTATTCTTAGCTCGCAAGGGCTGTGCTCTGTGTACCTGTATAGAGCTCTGATGGGAGCTGCAGGCCGGGGTTCTGCTCTGCCCCCATGTTCTCCCAGTGCTGTTCAGCACCTGCCTTAAAGCCTGCCATCGGATGGGGATGCAGCACATCTCAGGGGTGTGTGCCTGCGAGAATCAGCTTTGGGAGGCTGAGCGTTTTCTGCATTTGTTGGCCACATGTGGTGATTCCCTTTTGAATTACAAGATTTTGTCACTTCTCTCACAAAGTGGACTCATGAGACCTCTTTTACACCTGTAATTCAAACCCTGGGCAGGTGCAGCACTCACACTGCCAATCCCAGCACTAGACAAGGAACCAATCACAGATGCTAGGTTTAGCCACCTCTGTGACTTCATGAGGCTTTGGGGGGACAACAAGAAATACCTTCTAACGTAAATCCACTGGAGATGCTTAAGCCCTGGTCTGGAAGATAATAACCCTTTCTTGTCTTACTCAAAGTTTTTATTATTTTATTTTTTGAGACAAGGTCTCACTGTATAGTTCAGGCTGGCCTTCAGTTCACTATGTAAACTAGGTTGGCTTAGAACTTACAACAGTCCTCCTGCCTCAGCCTCCTAAGTGCCAGGATTACAGGCATGTACCACCACACCCAGCTTTTGTTTGTTAAATTGTATTTATTGATTTACTTGAGACTACTCAATTTAGTTATCCTTGCTATACTTCAGTATACAAAAATGCTAATAAATGTGATAAAATTCAAACCCAACCTAAACACCTTAGCCACTTAGCAAGGCCTTGTCTGGAAATAAATTATTAAAAATGGCTTGGGATATAGTTCAGGATCAAGGCTCTGGATTCAATCCCCAGCACTGCAAAAAATAAATAAATCTATAAATAAACAAAACTACTTATAAATAAATCTATAAATAAAAGCTATGGTGGGTAGCTCAGATGAGAAGTTTTTTTAAAGCAATTTTATTTCAGTATAAGTGACATACAATGAACTTAGTGTTTAAAGTCCAGAATTAGATGAATCTTGACCTCGGCCAGGGACATAGCTCAGCAGCAAAGCGCCTGCCTGGCAAGCACAAGGTCTTGAGTTTGATTCCTGGTACCAGAAACAAAACAAAACAAAACAAAAAAACCCTAAGAATCTTGACATACATGAACCCCTTGAAAACCATCACCCCTGTGGTGATGTGTACAACACCTTAAAATTTTCCTTATGACTCTGTATAATTTCTTCCTTCCATCTTAAGCAATGTGTCTGCTTTTTGTTGCTGGGAAATGCTTTGTATTTTCTAGAGGTGACAGCTCTGTAACCACCCAGTATGCAGGGTGTTTTCGTTTGTTTTTGTTTTGGGGGAGCTGGTAGGGTTTATTCAATCCTCGTAACCATGTTAGATTTCCCATGTGCTCCTCCTGTCGGTGGCTGAGCCATCACATCCTACTGTGTGGATGAACTACAAATCCTCGTGTGTCCATCAGCTGATGCCTTTTGTACTGTTTGCAGTTTTGATCTTAAAATAAAGATGCTATAGTCATTCTTGTGTTTGTATGGATATAGCAATCATTTTTCCAGGGAAGATACTTAGGTGTGAGGTTACATCATACAGTTCTTGCATGTTTAACTCAGAAATTGTTTAACTGTCTTTCAAAGTAGTTGTTCAAAGCAAAGTTAAGGTTTCTAGCTTTTTCTGTATTTTTAAACCTTGTTATATTTTTCAGTCGTTTTGACTTGATTTTATAAAATTAACCTAAGGAAAGGGTATTTCTATTACATAAAACTCAGCATTTTTTGACTTTGGATAGAATTTTAAAGGTGGAAAAAACTCCAAAAATATCACCTATAATTTTAACATCACAAAGCATTTGCTATGTGATGATTAATCTTGATTGTCAACTTGATGAGCTTGAGAGCTGTCCAGAGGATCAGTAAAGTATACTTCTGGACTCATCTTGTGGGTCATGGAGGAGTGACCCTAGGTACTCCATCAGGTCTCTGGCCCCTTCCTTCCTGGTGCTGTTCCTCCACTCTGCTTCCTGGCCACCATGAACTGAGCAGCTTTGCTCCATCACACCCTCCTGCTGTGGTGTCCCTGCCTTGGAACCAGGCAGGACTGAATCCCCTGAAACCATAAGCCAGATTAAACTTTTCCTCTTCCCAGTTGTGGGTCTTGGATTCTGTGTCCTACTAATGGGAAAGCTTCACCAAGACAGTTGTTTTTATGTTTACATATGTACTTCGACCTACACAGTTTTTATAGAATTTACCATAATTTTAATCCTACTTTGAGGTCAGACATTTGAGTTGTTTTCAATTTTTTTATCTTTTAAATGAGATATGTACAAAGTTGCTGGTAAATATATTCTTTCATGATTTAGAAACTTTGTGACTAGTGGAATTAGATTATTCTAAAATGTAAATATTTACTTATTTTTATGCTTCCATTTATATAAATACCCAGAACAGGCAACTCCTTAGAAAGCACAATGTGGACCATGGCTGAGTGTGGAGAATGGAGAATGACAGTTTAATGAACCTAGGTTACCACTGGGGGTGGTGAAGGTGTTCTTTACCAGGTATGGTGAGGGTCTCACAGCCTGGGTGCATGAAATGCCACTGAGCTGTGTGCTCCAGGACAGATGTTGAATTTTAGATTGAATTTTGTCTTAATAAAGAAAGAACTGCAGATGAGGAGTCTCTCTCCCTCCACACAAGACCTGTGGAGTGGAAGCCCCCTGAGGACAGCACTGGTCATGGAGACCTTTCCCAAATGCTTCTTCTCCTCCCTCCTCTGCTCAGAATGAAGGGATCAGAGATGTGTTACTGAGTGTAGGTGAAGAAATAGATGTGCATGGTCAGGAGTCAGGAGGCTTCAACTGTAAGTTCTGTCCTTTTGAGTAATATATGGGATGCGTGTTATGATCAGGACCTGGGAGAGCATTACTCATCAAAATGTGAACAGAGTGTCACAGAATTGTCCCTGAATCCACTCATCACTTCTGTCTCCTTTATCACTGCCTATCTACTGTCTAAAGTATGTTAAAATACGCACAACACAAAATCCACTGCCTTAGCCAGTGACCAGTTCAGTGTCATTAGGAACATTTACCTTGTGCAGTCATGAGCACCATCCTGCTCCAAAACTCTATTTCCAAACTGAAACTGTGAATGATAACTTCATCTCCATTCCTTCAACCCCTGGAAACACCATTCTACTGTCTATGAATTGGACTCTTCTGGGTCATCACATAAATGGAATCAGATAATATTTTCCTTTTGTATCTGTTCTATTTCACATAATATAATATCCTCAGGGCTGGAGATTTAGCTCAGCAGCCTAAGCACCTCCCTGGCAAGCATGAGGTCATGAGTTTGATCCTTGGTACAAAAAAACAAAAAATATCCTCAAGGCACATTCATGTTATAGCATGCATCAGAAATTTTAGGAGTGAATAATATTGTAGGATATATACATACAACCTTTTGTTCATCCACCTTTTGGGGGTCATTTCCATGTTTTGATTCTTGGGAATAATCCTATTGTGAACATGGGAATGCAAACATCTGCTTGAGCTCCTGATTTCTATTAAGCAGATAAAGAATTGTTAAATCATAGGATAATTCTATAGAATTTGGAGAGGACAGCAATGTTGTTCTCTACTGCAGCCAGTCCATTTTACAACCCCACCAACCGGACATGAGGTTTGGGTTTCTCACTTTGATCCTGTGGACCAGGGAGTGGACATAGAATCTAATCAAGTTGCTGGTACTGATCCTGGGTCTGGGGAGCCTCAGACTATACTCCACCTGACGGATTTGTGTGGCACATGCGGCAGTAGGAATAGAGAGGGACTGGACCCAAGCCACACCCAAGCCACACCCAGTTCTGCAGCGATGTGAACTCTTTAGGCACTGTCCCTTTCTGCACCATGGAAACCAGTAGCTTGGTGACCCACACCTTGTAGCTCCTCACTCTACACTGATGCCCAGATGCTCTACAAAGCTGGCCTCTGCAGGTTGACTGTGTGGATGCTCCACTTTCTTTGTTTTAGGGGAAAGAGCTTGAGGAATCAGCTCCCCCTTGCCCCAGGCCTGCGGAGCACTGACTGGCTGAGTCCTCAACTTAGTGCTGACTCTCACAGTTCCCAGGGAGCTGATGTTGCAGGCTGGGGTCTGCCTTGGGTGAGCTGGAGGAACTAGACCGTGTTTGAATGCCCTGTCCATGCTTGGGTCCGCAGTGAGTGACAGAGGCCAGACAGGAGAGCTGGGGATGGAGTCCTTGCCCATCAGACCTTCTGCATCAGTGATGGGAAACCTTTTAGAGACTAAGGGCCCAAACTGCAACCCCAAACCCACTCATTTATTGCAGTGCCAACACTGCAATTAGACCCGAATACTGCGCTGAGGTTTTAGTTTAGTTAAAAAAAACAACTCATCCATTGACATATTTTGTCTTAAAAGAAAAACACAATAACAAAGGTTTTGATGATACAAACAACCTTTTATTGAAAAGTGAAAGTTTGCATTTGGTATGCTTTTGCACAATTAATGTTATCTTTGCTGTTGTATGCATACTGATAATTTGTCAAATGTTGGCTCATACTGCATCAGTTTCAGGGCAACACATGCAGTACTTAAGTCATCTGTTAGTCTGTTTCATGTATCAGATTTAATATAATTCAAAGTTGAAAACAGCTGCCCACAAGCATAAGATGATCCAAAGTAACACAAGCAATCCCCAGTGCTTTCATTGACTGAATTTTTTTTTTTTTTTTTTTTTTTTGTCTTTTTGAGAGAGGGTCTCACTATACAGTTCAGGCTGGCATTGAGTTCACTTTGCAGCCCAAGCTGGTCTCGAACTTGCAACAATCCTCCTGCCTCAGCTTCCTGAGTGCTGGGATTACAGGCGTGCACCACCATGCATGTCTGATTTTTAAAATTCTTTGGCAGAAAATTCCACACTTCAAGGAATTCATTTTCATTTTAAAGATAATAAAATCCGACAAAACAAAACAGAATAAGCCCAATCAAAACTAACCAAAAAAACAAAAACAAAGCAGTGAAATTAGTACAAAACTTCAAAGCAAGATACTAGGAAAACAACAATGCATACTATAGTATATCTCGTTACCTTTACAATAGTTGTCCATTCCATCAGATATAGCAAAATCAAAACAGAATAAAACCAGAACACTGAATAAAGCAAAACAATTAATCAGAACAGAACAAAACAGTGAGAACAATATTGGATTTCCAAGACAAGATATAAGAAAATCCCCCATATTTGCTATCTTGCTCAGATGCTCAGACCTCCGGCTCCAGGCTGGCAAAATCAGCCCAACAATACAAGCATTCAGGTGCTTTTTGTACCTCAGTTACTACCAACTCAGCCTGTCCTCCAAACCAGCCAGTTACTTATGGGGCAGGAGAGCGTTGATTCTCAGCCCATGTGCCTGAGGGCTGACAGGAGGAGCTGACTTTTCTCTTCCTGGACCCTGTGTGGCTTGCACAGCTTAGCAGAAAGCCTGGCTGGTTGGCTTTTTGGTGGGCTCCTCCCAGGCCCAGCATGGCCCATTCTCAGGAGGCGCTGACTTTTTTCTCAGGATTTCATTTTCAGAACTGCCAACTGTGCTGTCCTTTATCATCCTTTCACACTCTGTCTTCTCAAGTGTTGCTCATATGTCATCGAATTTATTTTTCCAGACAGGGTTTTCTTAAAATTCCAATAACTCTATTTTCATATTTCCAAAATAACCCCCATGAGCAGTCAAGTTCTTCAAATTTGGCTTTATCTGGAGAAGTAAGAAAACACACGGTGAGTTGGGTGTGGTGGCGCATGTCTATAATCCCTGTACTGAGGAGGTGAGGCAAGAGGATCCTTGCAAATTGGAGACCAGCCTGGGCTACAAAGTGAGCTTCAGGCCAGCCTGAACAACGCAGCAAGACACAGCCTCAAAAAACAAAAACCAACCAACCAACCAACAAAAAAACCCCCAGTGTTGTCTCCATCTCACAGAACTGTGAAAGTCTGTTACTAAAATTCTCCTTTGCAACTACTACCATGGTAGAAAATTCTTTGTAGGTTTCCTGATGGCTTGTAAGATTGTCAGCAAATGTTGTAGAATTTTCTAAGTGCATTTTTAGATTTGGAAAATAATCCAGCTGCCTACTTTCAAGATCTCTTTCAAAAACCCGCAGTTTTCTCTCAAATGTTCTCCTATCATGTCAACTGTTTTCCCTGCACCTTGTAGTTTTTTGTGTAGTACACAGATGTGTAGCATAAAATTTAAGAAAACCATGAGACTGTTATGCCGGGCCACATCAGTGACCTGTGGAGATTTCTGCCCGTTTTCTTTCATAAACAGCTTTATTTCATCCAAGCAGCTGCAGATCTCCCCAGACTCATCCTCTGCTCAGCCATGAGACCCCATTGTATCTAAGAAAATCATTACACTGTGCCATATTTTGCTATACACAGTGAAATTTAAAATCAGGCAGCTGTCAGATTATTTGTTTTAGAATGATAATTACGAGAACTGAAATATAGGGAATAGTTTCACAGCTTTCCTTCAAAAAACTCTCACCTTTCAGTTTCACCAAGTTTAGCAACGCTTTTGTGGTTGGTGTCAAAGTGCCATCTAACACTTGACATACAGCACCCAGCACTTTCACCACACGGAGTGCACAGCGCTGTCCCACTGTGCTCAGTCACTCCGGTGACTCTCTTCAGGTCTCCTGGGGTGATCTTTCACCATCTATTTTCAGTTTTGCCTTGGTTTTTTTTCCTCGTAGTCATTTTTTGGTATTCAAGACAGCATCTACACAAACATAAAAGTTTTTTAAAAACAAAGCACCAAATACAAACCTACCCCTACACCAAAAACAGCTAACACTATTAGTAAGCCCTAAAGAATTGGGTATTATCTGAATCAGCAATCTATGGACTTCCGGGAGAACATGGAGGACAGATAGCAGCAGCTACGGAGGCTCTCTGAAAGACCCAGCTTAGAATTCAGGAATGGTGCGGAGTAAGGAATCATAAGCAAGAGGAGATATGCCCCGCTGACCCAAGAACAAACTGGGCTGAGAGAAACCAACTGGGAATGCAATCCTGGTGCTATAACAGGAACAGAAAAGCCTCAGTGTGGAAGCTGGAGCCCACGCCATTGGAAGCCGTGATTTGGGTTTCCCGCCACTGCTGCTGTGTCTACATTGGCTCAGCAGGGACTGAGACGCACGAAAGCTCTGAGAACGGGAATCGGTGAATGGAGTTGAAAGCAGGACGGGCGGGGAGCTGTGCATTGACCTTTGGTGAGTGAGAGAAACTGGGACTCTTCCACGGTCTAGGAGACTCCAACAGAGGACATTCTGGGACCAGGCAAGACTTGCGGGAACAGGACGCTGCAGTGACTTCAGTCATGTTTTCCCCTCTCAAGCGGGATTGGTGAGCAGTGCCTAGCTTACGTGATGCTGCTGGCTGAGACCCAGTAGGCTAGCACAACCCAGGTCCCAGTGCCTGAAGGTAGATTGACCTGGAGGGGCGGGCCCCGCATAGGCTGCCTGGTCTGCAACTTCCTGGTGCGCTGTGGTGGGTGGGAACACCTAGCCGGCGCAATTCAATCAGACTGTGGCAGACAGGGAAGGAAGCTGGGCCTCCCATATACACTTGCATATATAAGGAACAAAGAATATGGGAAGAGGCAGCAACAAGAAAGGCTCCTCGGCCCCCAATCCTGAGAAAGAGGCAATAGCAGACACAGCACCAATAGATATAAAGCGCTATCTCCAGAGTCTCATAGAAAAGTTCAGGAATGAAGTTATTAATGACCTGAAGCTAGACATAAGCAGAATAGCTAGAGAAATGCTAAGCACCACCCAAGAAAAAACAGATGGTGGAATGGAAGAACAGAAAAAGAGGGGAGAATTGTTTAATGGAGAAAATAGAGAAAACATAGAATACGTGAAGCAGGTTCAAAGAGATTACCAGGAAACTAAAAACTCTATCAAAAACTGGCATAACAACTTGAAGGAAACTAAGGACAGATTATCTGAACTGGAGGGCAGATTTGTAATATGGGAGCATGAAATGAAAAACTTCTTAAAAGTAACAAAGAAACAAACAGCAATAATACAAAGACTAGAAGATGATAAGAGGATCTATAACTTAAGAATTAAGAATATAAAAGAAGAAGTAGGGACACAAACAAATGAACTACAAAAGCTACTCACAGAAATAATCCAGGAGAATTTTCCTAATTTAGCAAAAGGTAAAGATACTCAGTTGTATGAAGCATACAGGACCCCAGCCACCTACAACCCAAACAGAGCAACACCCAGGCATATAATAATTAAAATTCCAGAAATCCAATACAAGAACAGAATATTAAAAGCCGTCAGAGACAAGAAACAGATCACTTACAAGGGAACACCCATCAGAATTACAGCAGACTTCTCGGCACAAACCATCAAATCACGAAGAGCATGGGGGGAAATAATTCAAGCTTTGAAAGATAATAATCTCCAGCCAAGATTGATATATACTGCACAACTATCCCTGGAAATTGATAGAAAAACAAGGTACTTCCAGGATAAAGAGGAACTAGAGGAATATGCAACCACCAATTCAACTCTACAGAGAATACTGCAGGATAGTCTAAAAAAGAAAAATACAAAGAATCCAGAAATAGTGGCAGAGAGGCCACAATGAATGGAGCAGAAAACAAAATGAAGAAGACAAACTGACAACTAATGACAGAAAAAGAGCTCAACAGAAATGAGGCAGAGAAGATTGGATGATAGGAACAGCTATTTTGGAGAAAATGACGTCTTAAGAGGTAATACTGATTTAGTATCATCTTGTTTTGAAGTCTCATCAAGCTTTTGTTCTTCTGTCTCCATTGGTCTAAACAGGTTGTATCTTACTGGATTTTATTATATATGATAGTATAAGCAAAAACTTTTATAGACAAGGAGATTATACAGAAATCATTGTCCATTTTGTTAGTTGATTCTAAATACCCTGTAATACTGTCATTCTCTTAAATGGTTTTACATTGTTTTGATATATTTGATGCTACAGTATACAAAGTTATACTCAAAGATTTCAAGGAAAGAGACAATATGGTAACTACTTTTATGTCGGGATTATCTTGTGGTTAAACACTTTTGCTTAAATGGTTATGTTTTGATCTGCGCTGTTTTGCTGTTATGCCCTCTTTTATCTCAATCTCCATTTTATTATTTACTTTTTTATTTTTATCCTTTTAACTAAGGGAAAAATAAATAAAAAATAACAGGATATATTATAGTAACCCACTTTGACTTTCCATTATCTTGATTTAAAGCCCTGTATTGCTCTCACCATCTTGTTTTGACTGATGTTCCTCTATTCTGTTTTGCTTGATAGTACCAGGTTTGAAAGTTTAGGCAACAGCTGTGAAGATAGTGGGATTCATTATGATGCCCATTCTGGTTGACTATTATCTACTTTTGAAGACCTATAATGTCTCCAATGTTTTGGTTTTGTTGGTTTTGTTCTTTACTGTTTTGTTCAATTTTATTATAACTGATGATATAGGCAATTCTATTAGAGATAGCGGGAGGCATTGTGGTAACCATTGTTGATCACTTTGTATTATGCTTTTACATTATCTATTAATGTCCACCCTTTTGATCTGACTGACTCTGTTCTGTTATGTCACATTTGGTTCTACTCTCTTCCAAAAAAGTATTAAGAACTGTGGGAGCAACAAAACCCAAAATGTGTAATTGTCATTGTACAAAAGAGAGGAAAAGAAAGTGCTCTAAACGATATAACTGCATGTATATTTAAGTGTATAAGATAGATAATGATATTACTGAATTTTGTTGGATCATTGAACAGAACTGTTTGCAGTCTCACTGTTGGAATGTTCACTTTATAAGCTTTAATTTTGTAACTTGAACAATTATTTCTAAGATGACAATATGTAATCCATTAACTAGTGATTTCCTACTGTTTTTTTTTCTGTAAATCTGTATAACTTGTACCCTTTCTCTGCTTTTTTTTTTCTTTTTCTCCTTAAATAAAATTTAAAAAAAAAAAAAAACAATCTATGGCAGTGATTCCCAGTTGGGGTTCCTCTTGAGTTTTCTGGCATCAGCACAAGGAAGTAATGTTTTACTGACCACTGTCTTTTGGCCTGCTCTGAAAAAGGCATCTGAGTACAATTCCTACCTTGTGGGGCTTTTGTTAATATCACAGCCAGGCCAAGCATATATCCATATCCTTGACTTTCTTTCCATAAACTCTTCATAAACAACTAAATATAATGCTGATTTAAATATACCAGAGGGACAGCATACCATTAAAGAAGTTTCAGTCTGTTAATTAGAACATCTCTTCGCTAAATCTTAGATATTAAGTTTCAGAAGACCCCAAGCTAAAATCTTGCATTAGTAAGTATAAATGTACTAAAACTCACACTCAGTATGAGCAGAGTCACAGGCCAAGGGTAAAGTGCCCTGTGACAACAGGCAGAGAAAGAAGTGGGGCCGGCGTGTGAGGAGACCAGCAGTCACCAAAAGAGCTGAAGAACTAGAGTCTCTCTTTGTGACTTCAAAGGGACCATGCTAACACCTTGATTTCTGATTCTGAGTTCCCAGACCTTTAAAGAACACATTTCTGCTTTTTTAAACCATTTGGTTTGTGGTACTTAAGCTATCCCTGGGGAGCTAATAAACAATTCACAGTGTGTTAGGCACTGCACCGAGTACTGCAGGCAGTAGTGGAAAAGTAGCAAAGACCCTTCAGCAGGGGAGGCAGACCTGTCCCCCTTTGTCCTTGATGTGAAGCAAAAACTCCTTTTCCCGGTCAGTGCATGGTCAGGCATCATAGTTCAGCTGCCTGCTCACCTCCCTGTCAGTTTTTACGCTTTGACATCCCTCCACCCACTTTGCAGTTAAAGATTTGGAAAGCCTGAAATCTTTGGGGTCACCATACAGGCGATGGTGCTCAGTGCCTGCCCTGAATCACGATCACAATGGTCAAGGTACATACTTACACACCTATATTCCCGCTAGGTTGTGAGGACCAGATGTCATGGGTTACTAAGCCGAGGGCCCTGGACATGCGGGGCAAGAGCTCTGCCACTGAGCAATGGGCCCAACACTGTTACAGATTTTTAACATCACTTGCATGACTTAGCAAAGTGCCTGACACAAGTGCCTAAAGACTACTGAAGAAAAAGGTTAAGAACAAATCCATCTTCGCATACTACTACCTGCCTGGAGTCCCAGCTTCTCAGAAAGCTGAAGCAGGAATATCATTTGAGCTTATGAGTTTGAGGCTTGCCTCTCAAAAAACAACAAATCTCACGAATCAGTAGAGATATGCTCTGCTGACTCAGGAACGAACTGGGCTGAGAGAATCCAACTTGGAATACAGTCCTGGCGCTAAAATAGGAACAGAAAAATCTCGGTGTGGAGGCTCGACTCCGCGCCATTGGAAACCGGTTTGGATTTCCCGCCGTGCGGCGGCCGGCTATCTCCACAGCGGCTCAGCGACGCGCCGAGCTCTGGGAGCGCCGAGCTCTGGGAACGGGAGAACGGAGTCGAAAAAAAAAAAGGACGGACAGAGGTGTACACGAAAACTGACTGGTGGCGAGGTGAGTGAGAATCTGACCCCCCACCACAGTTTGACTCTGGCGGAGATCTCTCTGGGCGCCATTCCCCTCTCGGACGGGATTGGAGAAAAGTACCTGGCCTGAGTGACGCTGCTGGCGGACTCTCTAGGCTAGACTAGCCTAACCCAGATCCCAGAGCCGGACGATGGCCCGGA